AAAGTGCAATCTACCCGCTTATTTATGTATTTGAACAGATTTTGCAAGGGAAAACAATTTCCATTTGCAAATCAATTTGATTTTGTGCTGTTTTTGTAGATCTATAGGGAAGTTATTAACTCACTATGCCTATGAATGTGAAGATACAGGCTAAAAGAGTGCGCTCCAGATTGTTTTTTTTTTTATTTAGAAAAAATTCTTATGAGAAGATCTAGACGATATTGTTTGTGGCTTATAGAGGAAACAAGTTTCTGGTAGCTATTAATATGTTTTAAGGATAGGAATGATGAGAGGTAATAGACTGAAAAATTATTGAAGATAAAGGACTGTTATAGTTTAGCTTTCACCTCTGTTCTTTAGTTACGGGGCAACTCATTAGGCATATCTTAAACGAGGGCTCTTGCCTCATGGTGCAAGTCATTTACCAATGATTTAATATTAGCAGTCATTGACAAGATCATATAGAGGAAACAAGTTTTTGGTAGATATTAATATGATTTAAGGATAGGAATGATGGGTGGTAACAGACTGAAAAGTTATTGAAGATAAAGGACTGTTATAATTTAGCTTTCACCTCTGTTTCTTAGTTACAGGGCAACTCACTAGGCACATCTTAAACGAGGGCTCTTTCCTCATGGTGCAAGTCATTTACTAATGATTTAATATTAGCGGTCATTGACAAGATCATGTGGATTTTTTTTAAGATAGGATGTTGGAGAGAAACTCTAGGATCTAAATGATACAGAATTAGCATGAGGACCGCAGAATATATGAAACATAATTTTAACAAAACCATAAAAAACGAAGGGATATGTCACACGTCTACTTAGTTGAGAACATTGTCAGTAATTATCATTCTTTATCCTTATCAAGGTTGTGGAAAGCAGAAAGCGAAAGAAAGCGAAGGAAAGCTGTGCAACACCGCTCAGGTTTTTTAGGGCTTTAGTGGCAAAAGGCATAAAGTTAAAAAGCGGTCCGATTTAAATATGTTTAAATATTCAAAAAAATCATGAAAAATCTAAAAAATGTAGAAATGCATATTTGATGATTTATAGAAATCCTTAGAATAAAATAGACATGAACAATTACACAATATTAACAAAGTACTGTACAAAATGAAAAAATACATGCTTATTATAAATATTGATACTTGCCCCATGCTTTAACTTACAAGTTCATCTAATAGAGTGGAGTGTTGCTGGGCTTCATCGAGGCAATAGGGATCGAGGTGGTGGAGGGTTCCTGGAGACGAAGCTCAGTCAAGAGGAGGCGATGGAGAGCTTTGTCGAGCAGAAATAGTTGGAGTTTCGACGCTATGGTGAGGAGGAAGAGAGTAGGAGGGGATCAAGAGAGACGAGAGGAGGTGGAGGTGATGCAGTAGAGTTCTAGGTTTTTTTTTTCCTCTGATAAACAGAGATGAGAACAGGATAAGAGACAATCTATAGATTGGGTGTTTTACTTATAAACAAGTTTAAAACGGCTCGAATTCGGGTTGGGTCTCAACATAGAAATAAAAATCTGCTTTTTAAAAAGTGAATAAAAACCTTAAAAGCAGATTAAATTAGCTATTGGTAACGTTTTTAAGATTTGGCCGCTTTTGCGAGTGAAAACCACCAGAGCCGCTTTTGACCAAAGCGTCGTGGACCGTAGCCGCTAACTATGCTTTAATCACCTTGTTGGTTGGAGTATTAAAATATGTTTGGGGAAATGAGGATGTTGATATTTATGACGGGCAGTACACTGAGTGAAAGGGATAAGAAATGTGTGCATATGAAAGAAGTCGAGCTAGCGTCTGAGGATAAGAGGAGGAAAATGTTTAAGATAGTTTGGACTGGGAGAGTTGAAATGAGCCATGAAGCGGTAGAGATCCGAGGACTAGAGAATAGACTTAACTGAATGTGAATTATTGCAATTAGCCAATTAATCAATTGAAGAGACGACCTTAATGTAGCTGAGTGGAAAAAAGGTCCAAATTCATATGATGGAGTCATGCACCCCTTATATTTAAAAGGGTTTTGCTAACCATTGCCCAGGAGCAATAGTTAAGGAGGAGAGAGATAGAGAGGAAAAGATGAGTGGGGTCTTATGTTTCCCACACTCTCATTTCACCCACACCTAGCTTTCTCTCCTCGACCATTGCCCTTAGGGAATTGGTTGGAGAAACCCATATTTAATTATTGTATTTATTGTTATTACTGTATGCTAAAAGAATATACATTTTACAGGCTATTAATTATTCTTTGTCGACCATCTGTGTACTATCTCACAGAACATGCTTATGCCTATTGTCATGCCTGACTAGATAGTCTTAGTTTGCCTCCATGCTAAAGGTGTCTTAATCTTTCATTCAGGGGGAAAAAAGTTATCTGTCTTTGCTTGATCACATGAGCCTTTTTGAAACCATTATTAGACCATTATTCCAATATTACCTACATGTTTGCTGGTTTTCAGTATATCCTCCTTTTTTTTTGAAGTTTTTATGTTTGCACGCTTATCTATTTATCTTGTTGGCTCTAGAAACTACCTCAGTTCTCTTTTATTGTCTACTGGAGATTGGATGGCTTCTCACAAAGCAACTGAATGCACTGTTATACCCTCTGGTTACCCTGTAAAGACGGGTTTAAAATCACCATTCGAGATTAATGGGATTGCAGGAGTTGCTTGCTATTCTAGTTGTGTCACCAGTCCAAAGTTGTCATTTCCAACTTGCAAAGATCAGCTTATGTTTGGTTCTTTACGAGTGCATCAGTTGCAGAAGTAAGTTTTTTTTGATATTCCATGTATTATTGTAACTATTAGCCGTCATATCTGTATCATTTGTCTGCAGATGGTTGCATCAGGAACCATGGAGTGGTGAAGCGCATTACCTACTTCTATTAAATGTTCTACAGAAGGCCCGTGAAGAGAAGTTTCCTCAAAACTTATGTGTTACTTTAAAGCGTTTGGTGTCTGTTGCTATTTCCAGAGACACATGTAATGATAATGACCTATGCAAACACTTAAAGTTTCTTACTCTACTAAGTGCTTCAGAACTAAGTTTGCAATGTGGAGACTATCTTGGTTGCGGGAGCCTTGCTGATAATGCATTAGAAGTTCTACCTCCTCACGGTGATCCTTTCTTTGCTCACTTGCAACTCTGTCGTGCCTATGTAGCTCAAGGGGATATGGAAAAAGTTAAGGATGAGTATTTGAATTGCTTGCGTGTTAAGACAGCTCATCCGATTGGTTGGATTATCCTAAAATATTTTGAATCTAAGTTCAAGCTGCAGAAAGATTCTAACATGATTGATATTAATTTTCGAAGTAATTTATATGGAAGTCAATGCTCCCGGAATATGTGGACAGCTATCTTCAATTTGGTTTCTGGCCAGTCCTATATATGGGATCAGGACTTTCATAGTGCGGAAAAAGCTTTAGCGCTTGCGTGTTCGTTCAGAGATGTGGACAGTTGCCTTTTACTCTGTCATGGTATCTCCTAATCACACCTTAATTATCAGTTCTAGATTTGTCATCAGTCCGTTAGTTTATCCTCATAGCAAAATGATGTGCTTCATATTATGTTTGGACATTGTAATCTTATATTAGGTGGTATTTTATGCAACATGTTTGATATCTGTTTAACATCTTTTTGAATGTCTTCTAATACCTGAGGTCATCCCTTTTAAGATAAAAGTCTAGGTAGCTGATGAAGACCGCTTCCCTTCATCTTTGGTTGCGAAAACTTAGCTTTAACTGCCTGCATTAGCCTAAGTATGATGTTGTGCATCAAAAACTCCTTAACTAGGATCTTTTCTAAAATCCTTATTAAATTTATAAATTTTAGGCTGTACTTTTCTTCAGTAGATTTTAAGTTGGATGGAATAATTGCTTCTCACCTGTCACGAATTCCCTACTTATGACTGAGATTTTTTATTTCCTTTTTCTTTGCATACTCATTTCCTTCCATGTTAACGAGTGAAATCTTTCTGCATGTGATGTTGAAATTACTAGAATTGGGTTATACATTTTCATCATCACACTGGATAAGCAAACTGCCATTCTGATATGAAACGTTAACATACCGCCTCTGCAGTAAGGCACCCTTCAGGTTCTGCAGTAAGGCACCCTAGGTTTACTGAGGAATAGTTATTGGTTGACAATCCTAATGTCAAATATGAGTGACGTCTGGTATGCAAGTGTTTTCTTTGTGTTCATACCAAATGAGTCTTCTTTGGAGTCTAGAGACGACTTTCTGCATATTTCTTTTTTTGTGAATTCTCAGTCTTTTGTTGAATTATCACATTCCATAGATGTAGAATCTTTGTCGACAAAGTAGGGACCTGGTGTATATCTGATCAATGCAACTCCCTATATGAAGTTATATCATCTTACCTCATTTGGTATACCTTCTCTTGTCTGGTGAAATTTGAACTTTTCTGATGCAGATTCAATTGCAATGACGGATCCATTGAAGCCTGTAAAATCTCTTTGGAGTTATTTAAATAGTATATTTAATTATGTTAGGATTTATCTATTAGTTAACTAGTTATAGTTTGACACGGATTAGAATTCATTTTATTCGAGTCTGTCTATATATTTAGCTAAAATTTGTAACATGTTAGAATTTGAGTCTGGGAGGTCTTGGTATTTTGTCTTGTTTTGAGTAGAATTTTAGTTTAGCTTTAAACTTTTCTTTAAATTCACGTTCGTGTGAGATTGAAAACCGAAAATAGATAATTGGGATAAAATTATTAATCTTTGAGGTTTTTGCTCCTTGGTTTCTCTTTTTTCATTCTCTGGTTTTCTCCTTCTGTGTTAGTTTTCTTGTTCCGAGGCATCCTATAGTCTTTACTTGGTTTCATCAGCTTTAGTTGCATCATGAGGAGAGGTAGATCTACCTTCAAGCAAACTAACTTTGAAATTCTATATTATGATCGTGTTGGGTGAATTGTGACCTCGTATGATCGGGTCGGGTGAGCAACAGCCGCTTCGTCACAGTACTGACTTATGGGCTAACGTTGTGACCTCGTATGATCGGGTCGGGTGAGCAACAGCCGCTTCGTCACAGTACTGACTTATGGGCTAACGAGTCACACTTTGCCCAAGTATCCTACAAAGAGACTCCCGAGAGCCAGAAGTATTGAAGGAATGGCCATAGGAATGGGCGCATCATGACATCGTAATTTGTCTCCCCCGAATGAATTAGTTGGTACTAGAAATGTTAGAAATAGTAAACGAAAAGAGTAATAAGAAGTGAAAAGGACAGAGAAACTTCCCAACCAGAAAGCAAAGTTCTCACAATGGTCTTATGTTCAACAATAAATCTCATAAGTGATTGATGTAAGGTTGACAATCATCATAAAAGTTGCATCATGAGGAGAGGTAGATCAACCTACAAGCAAACTAACTTCAAAATTTTATATTATATTTCACAATGGTCTTGTGTTCAACAGTCAATCTCATGAGTGATTGATGTAAGGTTGACAATCATCATAAAAGCTTCTCCTATGGCACTTTATCAACTTCAATTTGGTTTCTTTTATTCAAACCCATTTTGATGGGATAATATTTTGATGGTACGTGTCATGGTGATGGTATATGGGTTTCTGCTAATTTTGTTTTTTCATTTGGATTTCTTCTTTCTAAAACAATGGGGTGGGCAATCCATGACAATGAATATATTCGTGGTACGTGTCATGGTGATGGTATATCGGTTTTTGCTAATTTTGTTTTTTCATTTGGATTTCTTCTTTCTAAAACCATGGGGTGGGTAATCCATGACAATGAATATATTCGTGGTAACAGTGCTCATGCATGCAACTATTATTGTTACATGATTTTGTAGTTTCTTATACTGAAATGTGAAACATACTTTTGTTTGACATGAAGTTATACTTTCGGAGAGCCAAGTAAATGGGGAGAGGGAGATATAGATGACAGGTAAGTTGTGAGCTGGTGATTGATAACAGTGGTTGGCCGATAGTTAGGTTGGTTTATGCAAAGCGAGTTTTATTTAGGAGAAGCTGAGAATGTAGGGACAATGTTACATTAAACGCTGGGCGTTTCTAGGTGTCGGACTTGGCGCCCAACGCTTAGTCGTCTAGGCGGGCGCCTAAGCGGTTTCTGGGCGTTTTATTTTTATTTTTTTAATTGTGATACTTGAAGATAAATATATATATATTCAATCAAAAATACATAAATACTAAAATACCAATACTATTAACTAAATTGTTTGGTTTACCAATTACAGTAGCTCTTTGTATGTTTATACTTCTCAACTCAAATTATAAGTTCATCTCAACAGTGAAAAACTCATTCTAAAATTATAAGTTCATCTCAACAGTGAAAAACTCATTCTCAACTCAAATTACTGTTAACTTATAAGTTACCGTTAAGTTTAAGTTAACAATAAATGAAAAACTCATTCTCAACTCAAATTACTGTTAACTTATAAGTTACCGTTAAGTTTAAGTTAACAATAAACTTAAACTTAAGTTTACTGTTAACTAAAATATTGTTAACTTAATTTTACTGTTTACTTAAACTTAAGTTTACCATCAACAAAAAACTTAATATTAAATTAAACTTAAGTTTACTGTTAGCTTAAACTTAAGTTTAACTTAAACTTAAACTTAAGTTTAACTTAAACTTAAACTTAAGTTTAACTTAAACTTAAACTTAAGTTTAAGTTTACTGTTAACTTACACTTCTTAAGTTTAAGTTATTGTTGTTAACTAACTTAAATAGATATTTAAGAAGTACTCTTTACCTTGTTAGCAGTGTTTTAAATGTCGGCCGACACATGTCGGCCGACATATCGGATTGAGGCCTCAAACGACACAAGTCGGGGAATTTTAAGTCGCATATCGTTTTTAAGGGAGATATCGGATATATCGGCATAAAATCGGTCATATCGGCCGATTTTTCATGTTTGGAAAATCGGCCGATTTTTCATGTTTGGAAAATCGGCCGATATGCTCTAAAATCGGTTCAGGCTCTTTTCACTTATTGGGTTTGGGTTCAATGAAACCCATTTGACCTTTTATCGGTTCAGGCTCCTTCATCGAATATAGCAGGCTCTTTTCGAACCCGATAGACATCCGATCAAAACAAAAAATAGAAAAAACCATAGGGCTCACGACTGGGAACCCATCAGCCTCCTCTCTTCATCGTCTTGCTTTTGTGGTCCTTACATCGAAATCGTCGCTGGCTTCTCCATTTCTGGTGCCGCCTTCCTCTCTCCTTCCCTGCGTCATCAGAAGTCGAAGGTAAGCCTCCCTGATCTCTCTCTCTCTCTCCATTTCTGGCACCGCCTTCCTCTCTCTCTTTTTTCCTTTTGAAGAACGCAACCTAGAAACGAAACGAAAAAAGAAAATACAGAAAAATGTGAAGAAAATCGATTGCTCTGAGGGGAAGGAACAAGGAGAGAGAGAGAGTTGACGTTTGGGTTTTTATGAGATAGGGTTTTTATGAGTTGATGTTTGTAGAAAGTATTTTTTATTATTATTCTTATTATTATATTATGAGTTTTTTTTCCTTTTGAAGAACTTTGTTAGTCAGCAAAATATATGCAGCCGACGTTTTTATGAGTTGGTGATTGCGATTTTGTCTCAAGCAAAGATTTAAAGAAAAAGTGTTGCACTGTGACAAATAATTAAACTTATTAATATATCCCTAATGACTTTTTTTCTTTGCATTTTTTTTTCTAGACTTTCAGTGTGTTGTTGAGTCGCTGACTGCTAAGTAAAAGCAATTGTTTTTCAAAATCAGGTAAGCCCAATGTTACATTAAACGCTAGGCGCTCCTAGGCGCCGGACTTGGCGCCCAGCGCTTAGACGCTTAGGCGGGCGCCTAAGCGGTTTCTGGGCGGTTTTTTTCTTTTCTTTTTTTAATTGTGATACTTGAAGAGATATATATATATATACTCAATCAACATTGCATAAATACAAAAATACCAACACATATGCTATCCAAACTTATTATTGTTCTATTTTGTAGGTCAAAAACAGCAACTTCATTCGTTATTGCTGCAACTATCACTACAAGGTGAATGCGGTGATCCATGTACAGTTGTAAACTTGTAATCTTTGAACAAATGCAGTTGTAATCTTTGAACAAATGCAGTCCTGTTGGACAAATGTAAACTTTGAAGTTTGAACAAATGCAGTTGTAATCTTTGAACAAATGCAGTTGTAATCTTTGGACAAATGTAATCTTTGAACAATTAAACTTTGAACAACCTTGAACAACAAGAATTACTTATAAACTTAAAATGAACTTAAAATTAAACTTAAACAATTAAACAGCCCCATGATTACATATTTACACTTTCTCTTTCAAAATTCTGAGATTTACAGTTTAAACTTAAACAATTAGATAGTGATAGAGATAATAAGTTTAGTCCTTTACTTATAGAGATGAAGCTGACTGGCAACGAGATGAGAACGAGGTCGGAAGTTGAGCTCGAAGACGAGATCGGAAGCGAAGGACGAAGCCAAGATCGGAAGCGAAGGACGAAGACGAATCGGAAGCCCAGGACGAAGACGAGATCGGACGCCCAGGACGAAGACGAGAGCTCTGAGGTTCTGGCGGCGTCAGGAGAGTTAGATTAGGGTTATTTTTTCTTTGTTTGTATTTTGGGTTTTGGGTTTTGGGTTTGGGTTACGGGTTTTGGGTTTGGATTTTCGTTTTTTTCTATTTAAATTGTGAGGCGGCCCGCTTAGCCTTGGGCGGCCGCCTAGGCGCTTCCAGCGCCTAAACGTGGCCGCTCAGGGCATTTCTGCACGCCCTGAGCACCGCCTCCGCCTAGGCGGGCGCCTAGGCGGCCGCCCAGGCCGTTTTTTAGAACACTGGGTAAGCCTCCCTTTTGAATCTTTTCTGTGTCAATAAAATTAATTTTAAGTTAGTAATTGAAATATAAAATTAAAATGTAACAAATTCAAATGCTAATGCATAGGAGATACTTATTAATAGAATCAAATTGTTTCAGGATGCAATCGAGAATCAAATTTCTACAATCGGTTAGTGATCCTAAACATCATATATTATTTACTTTTTTATATGTCTAGTATATAAAATTTATAAAGTATGCTTATATTGAATTTAGGAATGCTTAGATTACATTTAGGATATGATATTATACATATGCGCATCACCCGATATGACAATCCGATATTTAGTCCATGTCCCCTGATGTATCCCCGATTTTCCCTATCTGATATGGATTTTAGCCGTCCGACATGAACCCGACATCCGATATTTAAAACCTTGTTTGTTAGTAGTTACAAAGATCGGGGGAGCTCGACAATGTTACAGAAGGCGCTAGGCAGACTAGGCGTTTGAGCGAGCGCCTAGACCCCTGGGCGTACGTCTAAGTAGCGCCTAGGCGTTTGACTATTTTTAAATTATTTAATTATAATAATTGATAAAAATATGTATTAAATTCATATAAATTTTTAAAAAAAGATAGCAATATTAGTTCCACAATAAATCATGCATACTTAGATACTAAATAACCAAAATAATAATTAACAAGGCTAGAGCCTAAGATGTTTTTTTATTTATTTTTAATTACAATAATTGATAGTGAATGTCAATGTTATAGAAAGCTTAGATGTCGGACTGGTGTCTAGGCGGATTTCTTTTTTCATTTAAGTGGTGGGCGATGAGGTTTTGCTGAAGGTCGGAGGAGGTAGTGGAGGTGTTCATATTTGGAGGTTAATGAAATTTGGAGGACGTGTAGGCTACAACACATAAAATCACAACCAAGGTCTACAGGGTGCAATCCACGTAAGCAGACAATGCTCCCTTAAACGCTCGTAAAATCTAGGTGGGCAGCTTAAATACCGCCTAGGCGCTAGTTAGACGGCTTAGGTATCACCTAGGCCTAGGCGTAGCCTAAGCGGACTAGGCAGAGGTTTTTTAAAATAGTGTGTAGGGATATTACCTGATTTGGTGGTTTAATTTTGATGTTTTGGTAAATATTTGATAACTGAATGAAATCATTGTCTGACCACTTTCTCTCTGTTCCTTGTTTGACAATTTGTCTGACAATTTCATGGCTGGACTGTTGTTTGGAAACTAAGATTTTACCATAAGCAAGCTTTGAATATTTTTTCCCTTTTGATAATAAGACTTCCCTGTTAAATATGTTGAAGTGGTGTATGAATTTTGTGTTCCCGTCTCGTGTTTTCTGGTAAGCTATATATTATAGAGGTTCAAGTACTTGTTAGGACAGGCAGTAATATGGAATTTGGGTAGAAATGTCATTTATCTGTGTTCATAGAAATGCAATATTGGTTATTAAAAATATACTGGTTATTTAACATGCAGGGATGAACTTCTTA